TGCGTTGGATTATAAAAGACAATAGGAAATTCCAGAATTTTTAAATTATAAATTCTTTAGTAAGAATGCAGCAATGTTTTTTTTAAGTTCAGTTCAATTTTTTTTTCTCTAGTAGTAGGCAGTGTAGGCTGTCGTAATATATAAGAGAATATATTCTCCTACATAGTCACAGAAGAGTTACTGTGGCCCCTGCCACACGGGCAGGAAACTGCAGAGGAGAAGTGTGGCTGTTTGCCCCGGGGCAAACTAACATGCAGTAAAGCGATCAGACCTACTGTGGAGGTTCTGTGGAGGTACTGTGGAGGTTCCATGGCAAGGGAGAGGTGCCGATCACAACACACGCCTGCGCGCAATGGAGAAGCGCGCGGCGCGGCGAACTGGTTTTCTTTTTTTGTGTACACTACGAATGCGCATGCTCCGTTGGGTGCGTGTGCGCATCCACGGAGACGTGGGGGAAAAAAAAACCTTTTCCGCAAGGGGACATGGGCGGGCACCGGATACCACCAGAAACGCGATCAGACGCCCGCCCTTGCCCCGCAGTTTCTGGAAACTAGTACCTCCAAGGTACTAGTTTTTTGCTGCGCTTTTTCGGCAGGAAGCCTCAGTTGTGCCACGGAAGCACTACGCTTCCCAGATGTGCTGGTGAGATCGCGACCGGAAACTCCGCTTGTCTTCCGTATCTCTTGCGTGGCTAATGTTGCGTGTGACCGCAGCCTGTATTCTTCATTAAGCTCGTGTTTTGAGATTTCAGTTATTTCTCTAAATTTAAAATTCTTTAGGAGCCTTTTAAAATAATCACTGGCCTTGTATTGTCACATAGTAATAAATAAATCTGTTCCACATTCTAATTCTTTCTCTTTTTTAAAAAAAAAATCAATTTCTCTTCATCTCTGTCATTGGATGTGGCTCAACTCTGCACATGCTCAAGAAATTTCATTCATTGCTGTTTCTATTAAGCCTGTGGATTTTTCCCCCCTTCTTACACAGAGACTGAAGCAAGACATGAAGAATCTCTGCTTATCTGCTCTTGCATATTCGAAAGACTTACAGCATCAAAGCAAGAACTCTTTCTACCAGATTTTGGCAGCTCTCCAAAGACTACAGCTTCATAATGAGACTATGGAAAGTAAGAGATGAGCAGAGCCTATCAGGCTGGCATTTAGTGCTTTTTGCTACATGAGCTGCTACGTATAATGGTTAAGGGGTTGCAGTACATAAGACCAAAAATAAACAAACATACTGCAAACATGTTTATATCTATTCAAAATTTTGTGAGCATCAATATACAAAAATACAAAATAACCACTTTATAATGTTTTCATGTTGTTACAAGTGATGGGTGAAATTCTCCGGAGTATCTTCCATTTCGTGAGAACTTCTTCTTACATCAACATACGTTTAGTTGTTTTCATCAGTTCATAGACCTTCCATATGGATTCAACATATTCATAGAAGGAAACAATGTTCATTCTCCAACTCTTCAGAGTATAATGCAAAAAACAGGCTGGAAGGTCTATGAACTGATGAAAACAACTAAACGTATGTTGATGTAAGAAGAAGTTCTCACGAAATGGAAGATACTCCGGAGAATTTCACCCATCACTTGTAACAACATGAAAACATTATAAAGTGGTTATTTTGTATTTTTGTATATTGATGCTTACAAAATTTTGAATAGATATACACATTTTTGCAGTATTTTTGTTTACATGAGCTGCTACAGCAAGGATCCTGACAACCTTATCCTGGTGGCAGGAATGTTACCTCTGCCAAGCCCTTCATGATGGAAATGCCATAATACTGCTGTGGTGGGGACCAAAGCTCAGGCTAGCTCGATCTTGGCAGATCTTGGCAGCTGAGCAGGGCTGGTCCTGGTTAGTCTTTGGATAGGAGACCACTAAGGAATACCAGGGTCGCTATGCAGAGGCAGGCAATGGCAAACCACCTCTGAATATCTCTTGCCTAAAACCTTACAGAGTTGCCATAAGTCAGCTGTGACTTGACAGCAAAAAAGAAAAGAAAGAAAGAGGGAAGTCGACCTTATGATTTCTTCGTTCTCCCTTCTGTAGGCTGCCATGGCACCTTTTCCCCAACAGAATTGCAGGGGACAAGGCAAAAATAAAGAGAGGAATGGAGCTTTCTGCTGACTTTGGACTGCAAAAATGGCAGTACCATATAAGAATAGTAGCACATCCTTGCGCAATCAATTCCATCCAAGCCAGCACTATGTTCTTAACAGTGGCAGGCAGATGGCATCTGGAAATTCATACTTCTTGCAGCATATCCCATATAATCGATGGCTGACACTTTGCTGGCGTGGCAATCAAATGGGAGGAGGTTTGGGGGGGGTTGGTTGTTTTTTTTAAAGGAAACTCAAGGTCCCCTCCCAGTCACTGTCTTGCTTCGTATTTATTTATATGAAGTGCTGAAAGCCTGGCATCAAGGGCCTCTCGTGTGATCCGAGGAAATTTCTGCTTACTGGCAAAATATAGACTTCTTTGAAACCTTTTACCCTGCTTCCTATTGACCAGTTACACATTCTGAGAGCTGAAAGCTGCAAACTTTAGTACACATAGACTCGGTTTGTCATAGTAACTTCAACAGGAATGTTCAGAGATTATGGTAAATTATCAGAGCATTCGTCCCATTTAAAACATTCGTCCCATGTGGTTTTTGCCCATTTCCTCCCTGAGGTAGCTGCACTTCAACTGTGTCATACGGCTCCATCCCCTTGGAGCAGAATTTCAGGGGGCACTTCAGACTGCAGCAGGAGGGGAGGCTGGGAAGCTGTGCTTCTGTGCACAGAATTGAGATCCAACCCAGTGTGAATGATTTTCCCTTCCTGATTTTATCCTCACAGGATAAGTATAGGGTGTTCTGTGCTGGCAATGAGTACCTCATGCCATGGGATCCAATTGAAATTTGAAGCTGTATTTTTGAAGAGCTGTATGTAAATGATCGACTTTAATACATTAGTACAGGGCAAACAATTATTACTGGGAATCTTCAAATCTTTCTCTAGCTTATGTTTTTGTGCTGCGACATAAGTCTGATTCTACCAGCTCCATGAAATCCCTCCCACCAGTACCTCTGGTTTATACTGGGAAAAGTAGATCTGGTCAAGTTTGATTTGAATCTAATTATAATACATTTGATAGTAATCCCTGTTCACAAGGTTAATTATTTGCAGCATTATTCCTTATACATTTTAAAATCTTCCACAGTCAAAATTAATTCATACTTTTTCATGTGTGAGAGAGAAATAAAGACTTCGGCATGAGTCTTAGCTTCCATTTGCCCCCACGAAGATTACGCCTATGTCTGCTGGTACAGTGAAAAGCACAGGTTGGCTTTTCCCACAGTCTTTGTCCCACAGTGGTCGGTCAGAATGTGTAACACTCAAGTGGCCCAGAATATAGAGAGTTCAAGATATCACTAATTCAACACCACAATCTCTTCCATGGTTATATAGAATGTTGGCCTTTCTGGGTACTTGGACAGGGATAATCCTTGAATCCTTAGACAGCTTTGCACTGTTGTGAAATTTCAGTTTACAGAGGTGTTCAGAGAAGGGAGTTAATAGACATCTCCCTCTTAAGTTTCAAAGAAAAACTTTGGTATTTATAGGTAATGAAGTGAAAATTAGAGAGTGAGGGTGGAAAAAGACTCAGGTTCACCATACGTGATAAAAGCTGGTGGTGGCTTTTTCAACATTATTATTTGACTAGGGAGCAAAGCCCGTTGTGGATGAAGACAAAGGGCCTAGAAAGGTAGGGTGGGTGGGTAATAGGAAGGAAGGAAAGAAAGAAAGAAAGAAAAAAATGAAGAGGGAGAGAGAAAGAAAGGTAGGAAGAAAGGAAGGAGGGAGAGAGAGAGACTGCAGAAGATCTCCTATAGAGAGACCATATTCTTCTACATAGGCCTAGAAAGTCTGATGGGAATGCACAGACACTGCAGCTACTCTTAGTTTTGCCTGGAAGTTGCTTTAATGGCATCACAGTGCACTTTGGGTGGCATGGCTCCAGCATGGCTGCAATAGTTGTAGACTTAATAGAGCCTTTCTTCAACCCTATTCCATCCATTCACACATGAGTTGTTTCGTTGCAGAAGGGCCGTCCTTGTGAGGGGATGGTTTCACTATAGAGACCGGTGTCGCAACTAGTAGCTGTCTCAAAGGATGTTATTCTAGCTCTATAATTTTGTGTATTTTGTTTTTTTTCCCATGGTTACCAGTTTGTAGGCCTGCAAACATTCCTTTCCCTTTGTTTGAGGGAAACGTGTAACTTAGATCGTTCTTGATGATCGTTTGTTAAAACGTTTTTTCAGCATTTCAGATCAAAGCTCTAGAACTTGAGCATTCCTTGCTTGATGTAAGTGAGAGATACCAGAAAGAAAAACAAAAGAGAAAAAGGCTTCACAACAGTTTAATTGTAAGTATCTTCTGTTAATTGTCAATAAGGTCTAAAAAGATCTGTGTAAATATTTGAGTTGTCAGGAGGCAACTCTTCCTCTCTCCCATCACTCTGCCTGCCTTCCCAGCTGTGACTGGTCAAAACAACACCTTCCCCCAGTGGGCAGGAGAGGAGGATGGCAATAGGAGTACAGCAGGAGAAGCTTTGGCTACATCCTTCTTTGCTGCCATGAGTGTGTCTAAAGAAGCTGGAGGGCTGTCAGTTTGCAGCCTTAACAAATATGCTTTGAATGTGTACATTGTATTGTACATTCATTTTTGTTAGCATGCCAGTTTACAGACAAAGATGCCACTGATAGGAAGAGCCCTAAGCTGTTATGGGGGGGGGGGAACCCTTGGAATTTTATTCCTCAGTTGCCATTTTCTCCTTTCCACAACAGGCATGCCCTGTCTCCCGTTGGTTTTATCCCAGGGCAGGTTTTTGAAATACCTCAGTTCCCTTATTCTTTTCAGACAGGCCTCTACAGGCCATAGAATGAACTGGTTGTAACTCAAATACAACAGGATGTAGAATACCTATGAAATTAATTGTAAACAGCCACACTTGTTAGCTACTGTTCTAAAAGAGTCCAAGTGAGTGTTGTCCAGCCTTCCTGATTTGTTAACCACAAGGCTGATTCTCATTATCTTCCTTTGGTTTTATATTTATAATCCCAACACTCCCAAAGTCTTCCTCAATAAAATTATGTTCAGAATTTTCCGAAGTGCATTCTAGCTTTCTGGGTGCTCCATTTTAAGAGACCCTGACCTGGCTTCTTTTCAAAGTGCTTTATATTCATCCATCCCAAATATCTTGCTTTGCTAACAACTGTTTCACATTCTCACTGTACTGCAGCTTACAGTGGAATCTTTAAAACATGGACCCTCAAAACAGAGGAAGACTTGCAAGGTGAAATTTATTCAGCAGTAGTGCTGGTATTTAGCCTTCCTGCCTATCAGTGGTACACACAAATCCCCAGTGAACTGGCTGAAGGACACGGTATGCATGAAGAACAGCAAGGCAGAATTCTGTACCAAGAAAAACTGACTTCTGCACATCAAGCAAACTTGCTTATATTTGTTGAGTTCTGCTTTTCCTGGCCATGGGAAGAGGCAAAGAGCTGTGCAGGGCTCTGAAATCATGCTTCTGGGATTTCGCCTGAAATTGTCCTTATCTGCATAGCCTTAAGGGCCAGAAGTAAAATGAAAGGGCAGTTTTTCAGGAAGTGGAATTCTGTGCTCAGTACCATTTGAACTTTGGTAGTGCAAATGTGAATTACACACAACTGGTCTCAAACTGGAGGGATATTTTGTGTTCTGTGCAACATTCTCTGCTAAGAATGGTAGCACTTGCATGGTATGATGATAATTAAGTTGCTGTCTTAAGTGCCAAGTCTGTAGTCATTGTACTTCATAGCACTGGTACTGACTCTACAAAGGCTAACTTTGGAATAAATGGTTTGGTCTTCAAAGTGCAATTAAATCCATGGTACAAGTAAATACATAAAACTGTAAGGCATCCTGGTTGATCTGTTTGCTTTTGTAACTCTATCTATGTGTTGTAACCTCAGGAACTAAGGGGCAATATCAGAGTGCACTGCAGGATCCGACCACTATTGCCATTTGATACTGCTCCTGGAGAGCTGATGTTAGAAGACAGGTAATTTATTTCAGGAATATAGTTATTTTGGCTGACTTAAACATGCTTATTTTTCTCCAGCATAGAAACACTGTTTAGATTCTGTGTTTTTTATATATTGTGGAAGAACCTTTCAGATATACTTGCTGACTCAGTTAAAAGCCTGGGATTATATTGGACCCAGCGTTATGGCTGGAGGACCAAGTTAATGCTGCCACAAAAAAACACTTTCTACCCACTTAGCTAAACCCAGAAGATTGCCCCCTATCTGGACTCAGCCGATCTGGCCACCTGGATTCAAACTATGGTGACTGTGATGCACTCTGTGTAGGTCTCCCTGCAAAATCAACTGAGAGGCTCGCAGAATGATGCAGCTCAGTTATTTATCAGGAGCTTGGTGGGACATATATATTACACTCATTCTGCAGTCACTCCATTGGCTACCGTAAGTTATGGATCCCAGTTCAGGGTATTGGCTATCACATACAAAGCCCTTCATGGCCTTTGACCCCTATATCTGCAATACCACATCTCCCCCTATGCTCTATCAGGACAACTTTGCTTCTCTGAGCAGGGCCTTCTGCAGGTGCCACCTGGCAAATGAGCAAGACCAACAACTATCCAGACATGTGCATTTTCTGTATTGGCCTGCCTAAGAAGGTCTGGAAGGCTCCTGTTATGCCGACTCCTCCAGGAAATTCCTGGAGACCCAATCCAAGTTATCTACCAAGGAAAGTTCCTGTCGGTCCACAGAGTTGTGTTCCGAAGTTCAACGGATTGTTGAAAGAATAGCCATGGCCTTAAAATGAGTCGGCCAAGTCTTGGGACAGAGAGGTTGTCCTGGTGGGGGTGTATGGGTGGAGGCTCGCGTCTCCCCAGCGCCTTCTACCTATTCTCAGAGACTAAAACTTTCTCTCTTTCCTTTCAGGCGCTGCCAGCGAGGTCTCCCACTCCATCTCTCCCCCTCTCGCTCTCCTTGGAGACGAGAAATTTTTGAAGGGTGCCGCTGTGTGCGATACCCGATGTCCTGGGTAAACAGGAATTATATGGGGGGGCAAGTGTCACTGATTTTTCTCTGACCACAGGGAAAGCGGCAATCTTAGGACTCCAGCTGCTAGCCGAACCGCATAGCTCAAACTAGCGTGCCGCATCCACTGTGCCAGTGGGATCAGTGGGGGGAATTGGAAGGGAGCGGGGGCGGGCTGGGCATGTCTTCCGCCGGGCACGGGCCGCGTGCTACCTGTGTCACCGGGTCCTCCTCCGTAGAGAGGTCCTCAGACATGTACCCACAGTCACATCCCTCGTCCGGTCCAATGTCAATAGCTATAAAGTCAGGCTTGTAAGTCGCTTTCGTTGCACCATCCGGTGTTGGCGGGTTAGGCTCGTTTTCACTCTCGCTCCCCCCTTTGACACTGTCCTGACCAGAGGGCAGGGCAGGTGTCACATCAAGGCAAGACATGAAAGAGTCCTCCAGGCCACAGAAAGGGATTTGCCTAGGCTCGCCATGCACCACCGAACTGACGGGGGCCACGGGCGGCGATGTAGGTGCGCTCGGCAGAGGGGGAGGCTGAGGGAGCCCGTCATCCGGCGTCTGTATGGGGAGGGTGGGTTAACCAGAGAGACAAAGGAGAGTTTCTCCTTAAATAAACTCTTTTTGGGGCATGTGCTATCCAGCCATAAACTATCAAACCCGTCCTCTAAACTATCACTACTGGATGAAGAGGGGGTGACGAGGGGATGACGAGGGGATGACGCTCTCCTGAGGGGTGGTGGCAATATGCAGATCCTACTTCTACATCAAAGGTGCCTTTTGGCAAGGTGTGAATCTTCCGTTCCCATGGACACCCTCTTGATTTGCAGATCTGGTTCCTGCTCCAAAGCCATAAACGCTATTGTCTTTAGATCTCCAAACCAGATTAAGGTTCCAACCCCGCTACGTTCATCATTTCTGACGCCCAATCTCCTACACTTGACCCGGTTAGCTTCACTTGTACCATTCGGTCTCTCGGCTGGACGAACTACTGGAGCAAGGGGGAGCCTCGATTCTCTGGCATTCAGCCATCGAAGAGGCTACCCCCTCAAAGCTCCTTGGCCAGGGACCCTTCGCCGGGCCTCTGGGGGGGTTAACGAGCCTGCTCACCCCCTCCCTCCGCCGAAGCAAGGAGACACCCCCGGGAGGTCCGGGAGGTGAGTCCATGAGCATGCCACCATCAACCGGAAGTCCTCCCAGGAGTGCATTTTTATACAGGAAATGCAGCTACATGATAACAGATTGTTCCAGGAAAATGCACTGTGTTTCTACTAATGTAATACTATGTTCTGCATTCAGGTGGCTAGCCGTGTTGTTCTCAAGCAGCAGAACAAAGTTTGAGCCCAGTGGCACCCTTAAGACCAACTACATTTTGTTGATCTTAAAGGTGCCAGTGGACTCAAACTTTGTTTCATGTCCTGCATTGTTTCATATGTCAGGTTTAATACTTCTGCTTTGTTCAGTCGACAGCTTTGTTTCAAGTTTCCGCAGTCCTAGTCCCTACTGCATTGCTCATTAGATGTGTCATCCTATTAACTGTATTCATTTAGATTGTGCAATCTGCCCTAAGTCTTAGAGGGAAAGACTAAAAATAAGTTTTTAAAAATTGGGTTTGTAGCTAGTGCTGGGTTTTTTTGCAAGTGAAAGAGAATGTCCTCCAGTTGAGGGAGCATCTTTTTAAAGCAAACCCTATGTGATTCCCTCTGCCCACTGTAGGACCCCATATTGTTCTGTTCCTTTGGGACCGTGAACCATGGGGGCAGCATTTCAGGGGGTGCAAGATAATGACTACAATATATTTATTTATTTAGGAAATTTTATGTCACCTCCTCCAAGTCCTGCTCAAGGTGGCTTACATTAAAACTGTGTCACGATATTAAATACAAGTCATTAAGAACAAGCCATTGGACATAAACAGCATAAAACTAGCAATAAAACAGAAGCAGACTATTGAAAACCTGATAAAACTCCAAATAAAAAGCTTGGATAAAAAGATGTGTTTTGGCCTGGTGCCTGAAAGAAGGTGCCACGCAAGCCTCAAGGGGGAGGGCATTCCAGAGAATCACCACAGAAAAGGCCCCATCTTTTTTTTTTTTAGTCACCACCTGCCTCACCTCTGAAGACAGAGGCACAGAAAACAGGGCTTGAGAGAAAGATCTTTACTAGCAGGCTGGATAGTATGGGAGGAAATAGTCATGTAAGTGCTAGAGGGAAATGTTCTGCATCAGAGGATTGCCTCTGCAATGGACAGGGAGGAAACCAGCAGAAATAGATCCAAGCCATTGTTTTAATCTTCTGAACATCTTCATTATTCTTTCCTCAACTCTGAGCTAGTCAGTTATTATACATGCCAAAAGGATGACATGATGGTGGAAGAGGAAACTAAGGTAGTTCTCACACTCTAACCACTACATCATGTGGCTCTTGGGGACTGGGCAAAAGAATATCCCAGGTTGCCCACCTTTAAAGTGAGCAACAAAAGTCAATGTTGCAATGACCCTGTAAGGATGCATGTGATATGCCCCCCCCCCCCCCGCACCC